GAATGGAGTTTGAGCTGTTCAGTCGCCTGGTAGCTTAGGTTGAAATGCATGACATTTCTGCTACTCAGTAACTGGGAAAACAGCCGTAGAACATCCAATAACACATTGGGTTAATATATCAAGACAAATCCGCGATGTATTCATCACTTGCATTGATAAGTCAAACCCTGCCGAGGTTCAGACGGCCATCAACTCGATGTTTCTTTGGTATACGAAAGCGGAGAAGTGCTACGTTTATTTGCGAGATATTTCAACTATAAAGTGGAAAGCAAGCGATAGAGCCTTGGAACACATTTGGGAGCCAACGTTTCAGCAGAGCAGATGGTTCCGGCGAGGCTGGACACTCCAAGAGCTCCTTGCCCCAACCTCAGTTGAGTTCTTCTCTCAAGAGTGGATGAAGCTTGGCGATAAACAGTCCTTAGCACAACAAATTTATGAAGCCACAGGAATTCCGATTACGGCGTTGCAAGGCACACCCATGTTTGAATTCAGCGACAAGGAGCGATTTGCCTGGATGCAAAGCCGCAAGACGACGGCAGAAGAAGACAAAGCGTACGCACTACCTGGAATTTTTAATGTTAAAATGCCGCTTTGCTACAAAGAAGGATATGCGTGTGCCTTCAAACGACTCCAAGAAGAGATCAGCAAGCTAAACTTATGCCTCCAAGCTTTACGCTTAACTAGTCCTTGTAGTGATAAGAAGCGCATCGAGGACACCAAAGGTGGCCTACTGTTAGACTCGTACTGCTGGATTCTTGAGAATCCCGACTTCCAAATATGGAGCAAAAGCCAACAAAACCAACTATTGTGGATCAAGGGTGATCCCGGAAAAGGCAAAACTATGCTGCTCTGCGGAATCATTAACGAGCTGAGCAAGTCGGTGGCTAAGACAGCTCTTCTGTCGTACTTCTTCTGCCAGGCTACAGACTCGCGCATCAACCACGCTACAGCCGTGCTACGAGGCCTAATATATCTGCTTGTCTATCAGCAGCCATCACTTGTCGTACATGTATGGAAGAAGTATGCCCACGCGGGGAACAAGCTCTTCGAAGACGCCAACGCCTGGTTTGCCTTGTCTAAGATCTTTACAGACATTGTGCAAGACCTGAGCTTGAAGAGCATATATCTTATTATTAATGCCCTTGATGAATGTTTGACGGACTTGCCGAAACTGCTAGATTTCATTGTCTAGACGTCTTCCACGTCATCGCGCATCAAGTGGATCATGTCTAGCCGTAACTGGCCCAATATCGAGGAGTGTCTCGAGAGAGCGGGGGACAAGGTTAGGCTCAGCCTTGAGCTGAATGCAGACTCCGTATCTGCCACTGTCTGTTCCTATATCATGCACAAGACGTCACAGCTGGTGAAAGATAAGAATTATGACGATAAGACGAAACATGCTGTGCTAGAGTATCTGCAGACTAACGCTAACAACACCTTCCTCTGGGCGGCCTTAGTCTGTTAGAACCTAGCTAAGATGTCGCGATTTAACATTGTCACGAAGCTAAAGACGTTTCCTCCTGGGCTTAACTCTCTCTACAACAGGATGATACAACGCATTAACAGCTTAGATAATGCTGGCCTTTGTAGGCGCGTACTCGCCACGGTTGCTATTGTATACTGGCCTATCACGCTAAAAGAGCTTACCACGCTTGTAGAGGAGCTTGACGGCATGGCGGAAGATTTGGACGCAGTAAGAGAAATCATTAACCTCTGCGGCTTGCTTCTGACTGTTTGAGACGGCATTGTCTACTTTGTGCACTAGTCCGCAAAAGACTTCCTACTTAAAGAAGCTATTCATGCAATATTCCTGTCTGGAAGCGAAATCTTTTACTACGCGATTTTCTCTACATCGTTACAAGCTATTTCTGATACGCTACGAAGAGACATATACGAGTTGGGCGCGTTGGGATACTCTATTGCACAGGTGCAACAGCCGAAGCCTGATCCACTAGCAGCGTCGCGTTACTCGTGCATCTACTGGATCGATCACCTCTTCGACTGGAATCCTAGCCCTTCTGCAGAGGACCATGTCGATTTGCAGGGTGGAGGTGCTGTTGACAGATTTTTAAGACAGCGATACCTCTACTAGCTGGAGGCTCTTAGCCTTTGCAAGAGCATGTTGAAAGGAGTTGTGTCAATAGCGAAACTTGAGGTCGTTATGCAGGTACTTTACAAGCTTGTAATCAGACATAAACGCATCCTGATATAACCTAGAGAAGAACAAATACATATGCATCAAATAAACTAGTAAGAAATGCGCACCGGTTTATCCTGTCCCACAAGCGGGCAATAGAGAAGAGCCCTCTCCAGGCATATGCCTCGGCCCTCTTGTTTAGCCCATCTCAAAGTCTAATAAGAGGTCTTTTCAAGAGAGAAGAGCCAAACTGGATCACAATAGAGCCGACTTTGGAAGAGAAATGGAGTGCTTGCCTCCAGACGCTCGAGGGCCATAGCGAACACGTCTCGTTAGTCGCCTTCTCATCTGACTCTACACGGCTGGCGTCAGGGTCATACGACAAGACGGTGAAGATCTGGGATGCGAGCAGCGGCCAGTGCCTCCAGACGCTTGAGGGCCATAGCAGACTCGTCTCGTCAGTCGCCTTCTCATCCGACTCTGCACGGCTGGCGTCAAGGTCATGGGACATAGACTATCGGGGCCTAGACTTGAGTTTGGATAGTAGGTGGATAAAATACAATTCAGAGAATATCTTATGGCTACCATCAGAATATCGGCCGTCATGTGTCGTAGTATCTAAGAATATGATTGGTATTGGTACTGGCGGTGGGAGGGTATGGATATGTAATGTTGAGCGTCACAAGCTTAATGTGTCCTAAGGTGTTAGGATCATGCAAACCATTATTATTTACTATTATATATTTATTATTCCCTCAGTTTCATAGAAAGCCGGGGATTAGCATGAATATATAGCTTGTAAATTTGCCACATCGAACCTTCGAGCATACCCTAGATCACCTAACCAAGGTGTCTAAGGTGTCCATGTGCTGAATTTCAGATGAAGTATTTGCCATTTGAGGTGGACGAACACCTTGATCACACTAGCAGAGTGGATGGTCGAGCTGGTAGTGAAGCTGCTGCTCGACAAGGGCGCTAACGTTAACGCGCAGGGTGGAAGCTTCGGGAATGCACTCTACGCGGCTTCAGCTGGAAACTACGAGCAGGTAGTGAAGCTACTACTTAACAAGGGGCGCCGGCGTTAATCCGCAAGGTGGATATTTCGGGAATGTACTCCAGGTGGCTTCGAAGAATAGCTATGAACCACTGCTCAACAAGGTTATCGATATCAGAGCACAAGATGGATATTACGCGCACCCACTCTACGCGGCTTCGTACAATGCCTATGGGCCGGTAGTGAAGCTGCTGCTTGAGAAGGGCGCTGACGTCAACACGCGAGGTGGAGACTTTGGGAATACACTTCACGCGGCTTCCGCTGGAGGTTATGAACTGCTTGCAAAGATGCTGCTCGACAACAGCGCCGACGTCAACGTGCAAGGTGGATACTATGGTACTGCACTACAGACGGCTTCATACAGCGGCTACGAGCTAGTAGTGAGGCTGCTTCTTGACAGGGGCGCCGATATCAATACAAAAAGTGGGTATTTTGGGAATGCACTCCAGGCGGCCTCATAAAAGGGGCACGAGCTGATAGTGAAGCTGTTGCTTGAGAAGGATGCCGACGTCAACGCGCAGGGTGGAGACTTTGGGAATTCACTTCAGGCGGCTTCAGCTGGAGGCTACGAGCTGGTTGTAAAGCTGCTGCTCGACAAGGGCGCTAAAGTCAACGCGCAAGGTGGATACTATGATAATGCATTCCAGGCGGCTTCATACAAATGCCATGAGCCGGTTGTGAAGCTGCTGCTCGAAAAGTGAGCCTACATCAACGCAAATAGTAGGGACTACAGGAGCCCACTCCAAGTGGCTTAAGGCCTTTTGGAGACGCACCTAGAATAGTATTATATATATGTTTTTACAATCTCTGTTTTATACAAGAGGCAACGGGCAACGGATGTTGGGATTATATAAAGTCACACTCTAGAAAGTGTTTAAGGATGCGTGTTTGTTCTTGCAGTTGAAAGCCGGGAGAGAGATCCCCATCGCACACTGGGGTGAATGCTCCCATTAACAAGACTGGGAAACACTATTCGGGTCTCCCCATAAAGCACAAACGAATGGGAGCGTCTGGAAAATGCGCGCTCCTTTCTATAAACAACAAACCCCTACAGGACCCCTAACTGTGCATATTTCTGCCTAGTACTACTATATACGTCTGCTTATTACTATGCTGAAATCTACCTAACCAAATTTGCGCGGCGCAAACTCCCTGTTAACCGCCCTCATCCAACCATACAACAACCACTTTGCAAATACGTCCACAACTTCAGGCTGGTGTCACAATGCCACTAGTTTCAAGGATATCCAACGTGATCCTCTACTACTAGGCGCAATTATGCTTATCATATACATACTAACGTAGTCCTAGTTAACGACATGTGCATTGGAAGTCTCATTCCGGTACTGTTACATTTTGAGCTGGTTCTGAGTGGGTCTTTATGGCACTCTGGTACAGACCTATTTAGGGTGGCGGGATCTAGCCTTTCTCCTATTTGTTCTCGAGAGATCGACTGTTTTCAGTTCCGACCGTGCCTATAATCGGGCTGAGGAATATAATGAAGACGGTTCATTTACAATTGAGATCTTTTCCTTGTTGGATTACAAAGAGGGTAAGCTTGTGGGTTGCTGCGAATATTGCGCTACCATTTGGATGATTTGAATATATATTTGAGGTCTAGCGATACGATTCTGTGGTGATGCAGTCGTAAGATACCCCCTGTGAATGATGCAATCTAGGCAACTGTTATGTGTACGGGTTTTATACATAACTTCGTAGACTCTTGCTTTCAAGACAGGCGATTTTCTGCGATTCTCCCAGACGGAATCCTTCTCTCCAAACCGCCTGAGCTTTCCGCAAATCGTCTAACCTCTCTACAATAGTGGTTGAACGCTTGCTAGTAGCCTAGAAAGCAGCTCCGGATTGTAAGCAAGCCGTTTCTCTTCAACATAACATCTCAGGATATATGTAAGCATGGGTCTAGTACTCTTCGATGTTAATGCAGTGAGAGGGGAATGGAAATCTTGCGGGGAGCTGGTCGGTGAGTATGAAGTGATTGCCTCGCAACCCAATAACGAAATTCTTCCTGTGACCTATGAAACGGTCTATGAGATGGGCCTGTGTCAGACTCAGTAAATATATTGAAGATCTGAAAGGCAATACAGGCTTGAAAATCTTGATACACTTGAAAATCTTGCTCTTTTCCACTGCAATTCTCTGGAACCCTGTGGGTCGGTCCTCGCCGGCGACGACGCAACACTGGTTAGCCCAGCTGTTTGCATTTACAGAGATCTCCGACCTCTAATCACATGATGACGTACTTCCACCCCTGATACACTACTACTATATTACCTGTTTTACTTCCTGCTTAGTCAACTGCTGCCCAGCCCACTCCTTTGCCTATATTGACCCTTAGGTACATTCTTTTAGCAATTAATTCAGCTCCTCATGCCTCTGGTGCTCCCAATAGCTTCACACCATCTCTAGCATCCGGATTATTTGTATCCGCCGTCAACATGGGTTCTGAGAAAGGTCTAGATAGAAGGTCTAGTTAGAGAATTGGCGACTAGGATCGAAAGGTGGGCCCTGTAAGTCTGCAGCTAGATTTTTGATGATCCTGGAACCTGTCCAACACTATCCGGCTTCCTGCTGTTGCTCCTGAGGCACGGAATACTGATTGAGTTACTACGCCCGAACAGGATAGGGGGTGCTAAGAGGGAGATGAGGTTGGTGATAATGTGGAAAGCCTCTGTTCTGCCTGTTGTTTTGACGCCTTCTTGGTTTGTCCGCGAGATGTGCTGATATCGAAGTTAAGTTGACTCCGCCTAGACGACCCTAGCTGTGATAGGAATCTTGCATTTCATTTCCATGGTGTCGAATCCTTAGACTGGGTCTGACCATACCCACCGGATCATCGTGTTTCTAACGTGAATGATGTCGCTATTCATGGCCCGCGAGCTGGTCGATAAGTAATACAGCACTTGATCCTTTGCGGCTAAAGGAATCTTATCATAATAGGATTAGGCATAGTTAGTCCCTGCCGTGGCCCATTAATAAGCAGCTTGCTTGCGGACCAATAAAGCTGGCCTCCGGAGAGGTACCTTCCCCACCCCTCCCTTTCAACTTCTCGAAATCCCATTTTCTGCTACAAGCTCGTCGGCCTTTCATACGAACTCAGCATGAGCTCTAGTGCAGGTCCCTCTGGTGTTGAGAAACGTGGATCCGGGGCAACCGTGCGCGTAAGTTTGAGCAGCCTATTTACATTCGCTTACTAATTCCATCGCAAGGCTTGCGACTCTTGCAGAAGACGGAAGAGAAGGTGCATATGGTCTTCAGGTGAGGAAGGATGCACACCATGCCTTCAGGCTAAAGAAGAATGCTCTACCACTCACATCCGCAAGCCTCGAGCGAAATCTCAGAAAAGGTATGTCCACATGAGAGGTGCACGTATGAAGAAGCACTGATATAGCGGGACACTAGGAACCGGATAGCCGAGTATGAAAGCCGAATCCAGCGACTGGAGTCTCTTCTAGAGGAGCGCAGTGCGGCTCAGCCTTCTGCCCCGGAACCGCCCCTGCAGGATCAATCTCAGCCGCTTTCCAATTGGGTCGACAACCTTCGAAATGAGATTAACTCCTGGCCGTTGATAGACCGTCCTTCCATCTCGAAGACTTTCGAAACTGGCTTAGAAGAGATTGAAGATGAGTTGGCACCAGGAGGGCCGACAGAACTCAGTTTAGAGCAGGCCTCTTCTGAAGAGTTCCCACTTTCTATGTCCAACCCAAGTGAATCTGAGCCCGTGATATCGTATGAGATATCGCAGGAGCAGCCTTGCCAGGGTAGTGTGTTTGGAAGCAAAACCCCGGAAAGCACCATGATAGGAAGTCAGCCAGACATGCCGCCGTTTTTGAGTCGTTCAAGATGTGACGGGTACCTCCCTTCACCAGAACTGGGGACCTCACTACTCACCGAGTTCTTGGTCGATTTCAACACTGCCTGTGCACTGTTCCGACCATGGGTTATTGCTGAACATATGCGAAGAAGTTATACTGGGGGTTCCGACGGTACCGCACTGGCCTGGGCTAACACCTATATTGTCCTCGGAATCGCGCATCGACTCCGTGCTATGAGTGCAGCGGCAGCCCCTGAGGACAATGAAATGGCGGACTTTTATCTTAGTCGGGTCCTTGGATCTGTGTCGGATCTTCTTCTCGCAGAGCCATCTCTCGCCTTGATCCAGTGCTTACTTGGACTTGCCAAACTTATCCAGACTTCTTCACATTCCGCACCGCATGCTTTGTTCATATCGACTGCTCTGCGCATGGCACAGTGTCTTTCATATAATGATGATGATTCGCAGCCACTGGGTCCTGACCAAGACATTGAGCAACAGCGCCGTGTGTTCTGGATCGCCTTCTCGATGGATACGGATACGAGTATACTTTCTAACGCTCCTACTACCCATCGCCGCGACGATGTTGGTGCTAGCCAACCAGAAGATAACCCGCAGGATGACGGTGGAGCAGTCAAAGCAGCAGATGGGGACTGGAAGGTCAATATCTTCTCGCTGCGGATTGCATTAGCACTGCTTCAAGCTGAAGCCGTTGAGCAGGTGCTATCTTTGAAAGCCCGCAGGACGAAACCTCAGGACGTTGTAGCCACAGCTCAGACACTGCTTGAGAAACTCCAGGCCTGGCATGGCCACGAGCTGTTTCAATTCGAGGCTGAACAATTGATGCAGCTGTTGTACCGGTCGGATATTGTACACACAGTCAGCCTAGAGGCGTCCTACTTTGCAACAGTCTTCCGGCTCCAGACATTCTTGGCGTTAGGGATGGATGCTCGAGTTAACCCATTCTCCACCGAGGCATTGACCAAAATCATCGGGATGAAGGAACAGCCGTGTTTCAGAGATGCGAAACGGTTCTTGAGTCTGCTTTCGGTGGCTCCTCAGGGAGACATCGGGCTTGGGTGGTATGTATTGGAAGCCGCGGTCGATAAAATACATCTGTCGCTAATTATGCACTTTAGGACCACGAAACCCCAAATAATCGCAGCCCTGTGTACCGTTTTGGCCCATGCGCTTGAGAGCCCTTCAGAGTACACTCCATCTTTAGCAGAGATGCAAAACATTAGTGGCCTGATTAAGATGTTGGAATCGATGGCTCAGAAAAGCCAAGATGGTGAGCTGAAGACGGCTCAAGGCTTGTGCGCCTTGCTGTTCTCCAAACTCAAGGCCGGGCAAAGGGCAAGAGGTATAGGGATCGCGGGTGGTGCGGAGATTATACCGTTTCCTGTTACTGAGGCTGCTTATTGAAGATTGTAAGATACCGGTATAGAGAAGATGTGACGAATAAATGACAATATATGACAGGGTTGATGGAATTGTTCTTGCCAAATCTATTAGGTCTAGCGGGACGTCCCAAGAATTCCCGAGATGACTTGGCGATCGGCTTTGAACAAGGCCGAGCTGCAGGGACTCCTGCAACCAACCCACCACACACCTTTGTTCACCTTTACCAATTGGGGGCATGTCTGCTTGTCTCCGCGAATGAGAGTAGTCGCAGCGGAATAAATCGCGTTCTAGATGTAGATGGCGTCATGGAAGCCATGCTGTTTCGCTTGCTAGTGGATTTGTGCCTGTCATCGGCCGCTCTCCGAGCAAGATTAGAAACCAAAAATTGAGGTGGTGACTACACGACTTCAACCAGTTTAATCTGATCCGGTACTCCTCACTTGCTTTTCTCTCGACTACAACATGGCTGTGAATGCGCACTTTGTCGTGAGATAATTATTTTACTTCACTGGCAATTCAAGCGTCGGTTTGGTCTCACTGCCCACCCCCCCAATTATCCCATCTCGGATCCTTCAACCTTATCGCCGGCCACAGGAGCTCTGCGCGCCGCGCAATCATGGCATCGACACCCATAGAACATCCTTCTACGACTTCCACCTTCCCGACACAGCAGAAGCCTATCCCGTACAGCTCTGGCAACAGTCTGCGCACCCCACTCTCCTCTATTCTCCCGCCCCTCATCTTCGGTACGGCTACCTTCAATCACCAGTACAACTCCGACCCATTCGCGCTCGATACCACCGGATTAGTCACTTCTGCTCTCACTCATGGAATCCGTGCCTTCGACACGTCTCCATACTATGGGCCATCCGAACAGCTGCTCGGGGAGGCCCTGGCGACGCCCTTCGTCCGCGAGACGTTCCCCCGCGCCTCATACTTTATCTTGACGAAAGTTGGTCGCATAGCCGGCGAAGAGTTTGATTACTCCGCGCCATGGGTTCGACAAAGCGTCGCACGCAGTTTGGAGCGTCTTCATACCGACTACCTAGACCTCGTCTACTGCCACGATGTCGAATTCGTCTCCCCAGCCGAAGTCCTCGAGGCGGTCAAGGAATTGCGCCGGATAAGGGACGAGGAAGGCACGATCCGATACATTGGTATCTCTGGATATCCAATCGATGTGCTGGGCGACATGGCGGAATTGGTGCTGCGAGAGACTGGCGAGCCGCTCGATGCGGTGCAATCGTACGCAAACTTCACGCTCCAGAATCAGACTCTTGCCGGACCTAGCGGTATCCAGCGTCTTCGCAATGCCGGCGTCGGTGTCGTACCTAATGCTTCGCCTTTGGGAATGGGACTTCTTCGTCGGCAGGGCGTTCCTGTCGGTGCGCTGGGAGACTTCCATCCCGCCTCCCGTGAGCTGCGATCTGCGGTCCGCGCAGCGAGCAACTTCTGCGACAGACATGGGGAGAAGCTGGAAGTCATCGCCATCCGCTTCGCCCTCGAGACCTGGATATCTGCCGGCGCTATTTGCGGGTCAAAGGGTGATCCTGCTTCTGGTGTCCCCTGGAAGCAGGAGTCGAACGACGATGTTGGAGGTGCTAAGCTTGGTGTCTCGGTCATCGGAGTTTCCAGACCTCCCGAACTGGAGAAGACTATGCTCGTCTGGAGAAGTATCCTCGATGGGCTTGAGGGAGGCGAGGAAACTGCTGTCCAGGCCGGACGGTGGTACCGAGCGTGGGAGTGGTCAAGGAATCGGAGGAAAGCGGTGCAGATCCTAGCTGAAGGCGTCCAGGAGATACTAGCCGACTGGTTCGGCTACGCATGGCCGAGCCCATCTCCTGGCTTCGTCAACCAGCAGAAGAAGGGCGTGAAGAGTCCACACGATGTGGAGGCCCCGTGGCTCACGCCTGCCGCTAGTCCGGAGCCTGTGCCTGTGGAGGGAGGCGAGGTGGTAGAAGAGAAAAGTCTTCCTTTGCGATGATTATGAATCCCACCACGGCTGTTAATGCGCTCTGGCGAAGACGAGGCGACTGAGGCTTTCTTCAAACGGCCTTTCATTTCTTTAGGCAGGTGTCTGTCTTAGATGGGTTTACGGTCTGCTTTATATCTCACACCTAAGGACTATCTCCTTATTAGCCAGCACCTTTATCAGCTGCTGAAGATCGCTTTCCTAATTCAGTCCTGTTTACGAGCCTTCACGGCCCTCACAAGCAGACAAATCTATTTACATGGCTTACTAACGCTCTGATATTCACTCTGCACATTTATAGCTTTGGCGTCGCGGTAGGCGTTTCGAGCTTAGAGAACACCGTCGGTACCTTCCCAGCCATATCTACAAGCGTGCTTTTATTCCTAACCCAAGCCTCTAGCCCTCGCTTGCCATTCTCGACGCCCAATCCACTCATTTTCCAGCCCCCGACGCTCATCTCTGCAGGGGATTCACCCCACGTGTTTATCCACGTTATGCCAGCGTCTAACCTCGAAATCACATGATGCGCTAGATTAAGATCTTTTGTAAACACGCCAGCAGCAAGCCCGAGCTTTGTCTCGTTCGCGCGCTGGATGACTTCTTCAACAGTCTTGTACGTCAGAATTGTCATCACCGGGCCGAAGATTTCTTCCTGCACGATCTTCATCGCATCGGAGCAGTCGGTGAAGATTGTGGGTTGGATCCAGTTCCCGTTTTGGAATTCCTTGTTGGATGCAGCGCTGAGCCAGGATGGTTTGCCGAGACCGCCGTATATGAGGTTTGCTTTATCGATTTCGATACCGTGTTTGATGTACGTTGTTACTTTCTCCCAATGCGGTTTACTGACTAGCGGTCCGAAATTGGTGTTCGGGTCCATCAAATCGCCTGCTCGTATATATGACATTTTCTCCAGTAACCGGGATTCAAATGCTGATTTTATCGCTTCTGGAATAAAAACTCGCGTCCCATTCGTGCACACCTGGCCCGTGGAGAAGAAATTCGCCATCATAGCGCCATCAACCGCTTGCTCAATATCTGCATCTGGCAAGATCACGCATGCAGACTTCCCGCCGAGTTCCATGGTCACGTACTTCATGCCGCCAGCAGCACTACCCGCCACTTTCTGCCCGGTGGAGACTTGCCCGGTAAACGACACTTTTGCGATCGAGGGATGTGAAGTTAGATATGCACCAACTTCGCCTCCGCCTTGTATTACGTTGAACACGCCTGGAGGGACCCCTGCTTCTAAATATATTTCCGCTAAAATGGTGGAGTGTAAGGGTGTGAATTCAGATGGTTTGTATACCATGGTGTTTCCGGCCGCGAGACAGGGTGCGGATTTCCAGAGCGCGATTTGAATCGGATAATTCCATGCGCCGATGCCAGCGCACACGCCGAGCGCGGCTTTGGTCGTGTAGACCCAGGCGTTGGGACGGAGCTGGATGGTTTCGCCATTCAGACCGCCCCCGCCTACGAGGTTAGCAAAGTATTCGAGGACATCGGCGCCGGTGACAATGTCTACTGTGCTGGTTTCTGAGAAAGGTTTTCCGGTGTCGTCGGTTTCTATCTTAGCGAGTTCATCGTTTCGAGATCGGAGGATGGAGGCGGCTTTTTGGAGTACCCGCGCGCGTTCAATTGGAGGCGTAGAGGACCATGCCGGGAAAGCTTTTTGGGCCGAGGCGATGGCGGCGTCGATTGCTGAGGGGTTTGTAGTGTGGATATTTGCCAGTGGGGATGAGGTCGAGGGTGAGAGGGTTTGGAAGGAGGTTGTGGATGTCGAGGACTGAGGTTTGCCGTCGTAATAGGCGAATCGTGGGGAGTAGGGGAGAGACATGATGGCATCCGTTTGAGTAATAATTGCTTGAAATGGAGAAGACTATGGAGAGAATTCCCTGTTGAGCTTCCAAGTGTGTATGAGAACGTTTACGCCCTGGAGAATAAAAAGTGGAGGAAAGCCTAAGGTGGATGGCAAGGTCGTCTCAATTGGCCTGATAGGGTATCGGTACGTGACACTCGTCTAGAACTAGACTCGGCCACCTCTGTCATCCACAGCGTTGTGAATTTCCCCAAGCGGAAGTGGTGAAGCTTGGTGGTGGGGTAGCTCCAAGCAGCAAAAATCTCCTCCACAATTCTTCAGAAGATAACAATGGCCTCCAAAATTCCTCCACTTTCCGTGTTATCGGCCGACACTGACGCCCACGGATTTTTAAAGCTCCTCACAATGATAGCAAGCAACTTCCGGCGATTTCCAGCAGGATACAGCTTCCAAGAGCAGATCTTGCAAATACGTTAGTGGGGTTGAGCTGCATCTGCCGTCCACACCGCCTGGATGAGCGAGCCTGGTTGGGCCTAGAGCGCAGCCTCCTAGTGGGGTCCTAGCGCCACCAAATGGCCCCTGTTTGCTGGGCTTGCGCGGTCAACCTCACCTTTGCTGGAGCTGGGAAGAGTGTCCGATGAAGTCGAAGAGAATCCCCGTGGGCTCAGGACGAGTTTTGAGTTGGATATTGTGTGTTTGCGTGCTCGATGGCGCAATCTTGACCGGAAGAATGCTGCGTCTTTGTCATCCAACCTATCAGCCCTAAAACTAGCAACTCCTCACGAACGGAGTATGCACGTGTGCTCTTCGGGCGATCCGAGGTCAGACCCACCGTTAGCACGCAATCCGGGAAGGAAAAACCTCAGGTTCTGTACCAGGCCGTCTCCAGCCGCGCACCAACTCAAGCCATCTGACCACCTCCCGCCGAGATTGTCGACGCTGCATGGCCCTCTCACTGCAAACAGACCCAGGGATTTGGGTCGCCAATCTTGAGAAAGACTTAAGAACCTCGCCTTTCTTCTCATAAGCCTCTGTTGGGGGGTGGCTATCTCGCCTCTGGAAGGGTTGATTGCCTTGTCTGCTCATCCTCCTTCCATTCAACATGTCGCCAACCACCACCTCCATCCCCCAAGATGCCTACTACGATTTTATTATCGTGGGAGGTGGCACGGCTGGCTGTGTTATTGCATCCCGCCTCTCCGAATACCTTCCGACTAAGTCTGTCCTCTTGATTGAGGCTGGCCCTAGCGACTACATGGATGATCGTGTACTCCTTCTCAAAGACTGGCTCCAGCTTCTGGGAGGAGAGCTGGACTACGACTATGGCACAACCGAGCAACCAATGGGCAATTCGCACATCCGACACTCACGTGCAAAGGTCCTCGGAGGATGCTCATCACACAACACGCTCATCTCGTTCAGGCCCTTCGAGTTTGACTGCAAGAGATGGGAAGCCCAGGGATGCAAAGGCTGGAGCTTCAAGATGTTCTCCCGCGTCCTCGACAACCTCCGCAACACCATCCAGCCTGTTCACGAGAGGCACAGGAACCAGCTTTGTCTTGATTGGGTTGACTCTTGCTCAACAGCTATGGATATCCCGGTGATTCATGACTTCAACCACCAGATCAAGACGACAGGTTCTCTGAAACCTTGCGTTGGCTTCTTCTCTGTATCATACAACCCGGATGATGGACGCCGAAGCAGTGCGAGTGTAGCGTACATCCATCCTATTCTCCGTGGTGACGAAAAGAGGCCTAATTTGACCGTTTTGACTAATGCCTGGGTGAACAAAGTCAACGTCGAAGGAGCCAAAGTCACAGGAGTCAATGTGACACTTCAGAGCGGTGAACAGCGGACTCTCCACCACAAAGCAGAAACCATCCTTTGTGCTGGTGCTGTTGATACACCCCGTTTGATGCTCCTCTCTGGTCTAGGTCCCAAGAAGCAGCTCTCGGATCTGGGTATTCCGATTGTCAAAGATATTCCCGGCGTTGGTGAGAACTTGCTTGATCATCCTGAGAGTATCATCATCTGGGAGTTGAATAAGCCTGTTCCTCCGAACCAAACTACTATGGACTCAGATGCAGGTATCTTCCTTCGCCGTGAGGTTAAGAATGCTGCTGGCACAGATGGAGATATTGCTGATATGATGATGCACTGTTATCAGATTCCATTCTGTCTGAACACTTCACGGTATGCTAGCCGCTCTCAGAAACTCACCTTCTCTGCTAAATTAGCATAGACTCGGTTATGACGCTCCTATCGATGCCTTCTGTATGACGCCTAACATTCCGCGACCACGCTCACGTGGACGTATCTACCTTACGTCTGCAGACCCCAACGTGAAGCCAGCCCTCGACTTCCGCTATTTCACTGATCCAGAAGGCTATGACGCTGCCACTATCGTTGCGGGTCTACGAGCAGCTAGGGAAGTAGCCAAGCAAGCTCCATTCTCGCAGTGGCTCAAGCGTGAAGTTGCTCCCGGCCCTAAGCTACAAACCGATGAAGAGCTCTCAGAGTACGGACGCCGAGTCGCGCATACAGTGTATCATCCCGCTGGAACGACCAAGATGGGTGATGTCACGAAGGACGAATTTGCTGTCGTGGACCATGAGCTCAAGGTTCGAGATTTGGAGGGAGTGAGGATTGCAGATGCAGGTGTCTTCCCTGAGATGCCTACTATCAACCCTATGCTCACAGTGCTCGGTGTTGGAGAGCGTGCTGCTGAGTTGATTGCTCAGCAGTGGGGATGGAAAGGATTGGAGAAGGAGAAGTTGTGAAAGCGGATAGGTACCTAAGCCAGCAAGTGGAATTAGGATACTGCCTGTTCCATAAGTCTCCCATAAATCACAATGGTGTACTATTGACGCCCTGTGAGGTTCTCCTTTGCACCTTTTAACATCCGTCTGGTAAGAAAATGGGCGTTGGTGTAGATCCTCTTTTGTGTTAAAATTAGTCTATAACCTGGGAAGGCAGCTACGAGGGGGGCTTGGATGGCTTCTCCATTCATCTACGCTTAATAACGATAGTAAGTTGTTGACGCTCTATTAAGTTCTCCATTATATCTTTGAAATCTAGCGAGTAAGAAAAGGAATGTCGCTGTCGGTGCTCTCGTATCTTGTATCAGCTTGCAATCATCTATATTCCTATTCACTGCAAATCAAATGCTTAGAGAGAGCATTTAATTGCTCTGCCTTAACGCTGATCATGCTAAACTAACAAACCAACCAAGATCCCCAACCCCAGCTAAGTCGGAACTGTGCTCCCAAACTTAACCCTCTCCTGTTGGAATTCCCTTTTCCTCGAGCCCTCTTGCCCAATCCAATATCCAATCTCACTCCACCGCAAGCCCCTCCTCAAGCCTCCCGGAACGGGGAACAACCCCATTTTGACTTCCCCATCCAACCTCACAAGTCTCGCGCACAATTTACCTGCCTGGAAGCACAAATCGCAAGTCCTGTGGATATTCCCGTCTGCTGCGTTATACGTCATGACACTGCTTGCCTTACGCGACACGAGATTGTGAACGCAGCGCCCGTTGTCGATGTAGGTGTCAGGATTGCGTGTCATTTGCGCGTATCGATATTTCTTGCCTTTATGGAAGGTGTAGTCTTCGAAGAAGCGGGTGCGGAGATTCTCGTTGACGCCGCGGGGAAGCGAGGTGATGGGCTTCCATTCACCGGTGTTGTTAAGGGAGGGGACCCAGAGGAGTAGCTCGAGATCGGGGTTTGAGTTGGTGAGGTTTTGGTTTGAGGGCCGGCCGCGACGAGGTTGGGGGATGCGTCGAATGAGAGGTTCTGCGCTGGGGCTTGGTTGGGGAATGTGCCCGCGTTCTTCGCCGTCTTCATTGTTCTCAGAGAGTTGCCGTGAGTGTTCACCAGTCTTGTGTCGTTTTGATAGCCGCCCTGCTGGTGATGTTCCTAGGTTTCTCTTTATAGAAGTTCTGGTTCTATATGAGTGAGTATCAACTGCCTGTCTGGGCCCTTCATACTTCTGTTTCTCTTCGTTGTGGACGACTTCATTGACTTTAGAGCCAGCTTCGGGTTGTGCGACTTCTATGAAGAAGTTAGCGTGAGCTCTAGAGAACCGATCGCAGAAACATACCTTCGCCTTGGCGCTCTCCTCCTAGGTCGACTTCACTGAACGTAGAGCCTGCTCTGTGCCCTGTGGCTTCTATGAAGAGAGGTTAGCGTCACACCAAGCCCAGATGATGGCCCTCAGAACCATACTTCTACCTCTATCTCCTCTGTCCTCTCCATGGTCTGCATCAGCTTCAGAGCTGACTATTGGTTGCGTCGCTTCTATGCAGAAGTCAGAGTCATGTCTAGAAACATTCGATTGAGGCATACCTCTATTCTGAACCGATTCTTCATGGCCGCCCTGTATGGGATCGTCATGACCGCTCTGTCTGCTTTCTTCCTGGCCGTCTTCACTCACCTCAGAGCCTACCCTGTATTGTATGGTTCCTATGGGGAAATCTTAATCAAGAGCAGACGAACAAAAAATCGTAGAGACATACCTTTATCCTGTTCCTCGTGCCCATCACCCGCCTCATTGGCCTCAGAGCCCGCTCTTGGTCGATGTGCAGGTCCTTCTATACAAAATTCAACACTAGAAACATCAAAACCAGGCAATACACTTCAGAAGCTTACCTCTCATAGGCCTCGCATCCTCCTTTGCAATAACATCAAGCATAACCGTCGCAATAGCCTCCCTACCAGTGCGACTAATACGATACGTCCATACCTCGGCAAGAATACGATCAATTTCTCCAGTTTTAAGGTTCTTGAGGAGCAGTTTGCGAGGGTCTGCGTAGATGGGGTTGTTCGAAAGTGAAAGTAGTGCTTTGATATGACCCTCAATGACCGGGTCGAGCTCTGGACTTGGTGACCCCTCCATTTTGGCGACTTTGGCGTACGCGAAATGGTCTGCTCAGGAAAGTAAAAGAATTGGTGGGATTGGTGAGTTGAAGGCTTGGAAGGCTCTGTTTGTGGGTGGGCTCAGAGAAATGAAGACCCTGGGTTCTTGGCGCGGTGGTGAATGGTCCAGAGGGAACGTCTGCACCACTCAAGTTTATCGGAACCTCATCCCCACCGTACTGCTATAATATTCATTAATTTGAGCTGGGGAGGTAGCTGACCCACATTAATCGCTGCTGAGTCCTGTCGGCCAAAAAAACTATTTTTTGGGGGGGAACCCTGCTATCCTTCTGGGGCTACGTTTAGGAAGTAGCTAACCCAGCATAGCTATGGGATCCCATTGCGCCATTGTCGAGACCGCTATGAACAAGCGATATAATGGCGGTGCAGCATCTCCCTTCCATACTCCAAACTCCATTGTGTGCACTGCGTTGGAAGAACTTGATGCCTCCCAATTCACCTGCGACCATACTCACTCCTGTGGAATCTAGAATGCCAAATCTTTCCAAGAGCTTTTACGTGAGGTAGATATATTCTTAAAGAATGATGCCATTCAATCTGATAAACTTGACACAGAGTCGGTAATACCTGAAAGATGTGTCGCACACTGACGTCATGTTGCCATCCAATGCACGATAAGACTGGATTCTTCATTGGAGTACAACGACGAAGTCACTCAAGCAATGCCCCTCCCCAAATGATGTGAATTCCGGGCCACTTGCCCTTATACTTCCTTCCTGCTGTCGTTTGAAACGAATGCTTCACCAAATCTAGAGCGTAGTGTCGCACGTGACATTAGTCCACGTGACCCTGGGTCAGGGTGAATGTGGGTCCTTCACCCACACCTAACCGTGCATACGGTCCGTACAAGGCGATGTGAGCCGTCCGTACGTACTGAGCCTACGTTCTATATACTTTACAGCATGTAAAGCTGTCGTACTAATCGTTTGCAGTATAAGATTTCAGGTAACTTGTAGGTTATCCCTTAGTAGTTTTTAAAGCCACTTTGCTTAGAATTAATGCTGTTTCTACACCCTTTATCCTCTTAGGCCAGTATAAGGCGTAGATTTAATAAACTTAACACTTCTTTTAAGTCTTTAGTAGAGAATAGAAAATATGCCCTAGTAAGTGGTAGTTCGATGTGACTGGATTCTAGGACAAGTCGAAGATTTAAGCAGAGAGAGCACAGAAGCTCACACGGACAGAGAATGAGGTTTCATAGGGTTAGATTCTGGTTCTAATTGTAGTTGGCTTAACTAATTTTCTCTTACTCTAAGATCACGGAAAATATATTTCTTTATCTAAATTAATAATCTGTTATTCACTTCCTAGGTTAGTTACGCTTCCACGCGCATTGCTAAGCACCAGTGTCAGGGTGTTCAACAGGGCGTAGTACGTTTGATACGTTTCACAATGTTACGGTCACGTGAGAATTATAATCGTAAGAACATGGGGAGCCGGTCCTTGCCGTTCAGGCCATGGATTTGAACCGTAGTATATTTAAGATAGGATTTATTGGGGTAGCGATTGCTTATTTGCTGGAGCTAGGATAGCACGTGTTTGGGAGGGGATCTGTGGCACCGTTAGCCGTGTTTTTGTAGTGTAACAAGCCAAGGCTTCTGTTTTACCCCTTATAATAGTATGAATCAACACCTGAATCTTTATCCTTACCCCATTTTTCTTGATTCCCATTAAATTTGCATGTTAGACTTCCTCTGAGCTGGCTATTGGTTGGTTCGTTCTGGATGACCCATCACTGACCTACAGTTGCTGTATACAGAGCTTCTACAGATGAAGGGGTGAACTTAAGAATGAGTCAGAGGACTGTTATCTTAAGGATGGTGTTGGCTTTGGTATTGAGAAACTGCTAACTTACTGGGATGAGATTATCCTCAAGCTGCCTGTATCCTATATCAAAGTAGCAAAATTCAGCGGAAAAGGCTACGAAAGCAGCGGCGGTCTTACCACCCTAAGGTGTACAAGCTCTGCTGCGATGATTGTAGACTTATAACAGCATAGCGGGGTATCTGCTTCTCCACCTCCTCCTTGGATGCTAGCTTTGATGCGGATATAGCTGTAATGGCCGCTTGGAATTGGACGGGACGAGAGGATTGAGTGTGGGTGGTGAAGTTTCCGACAGCTTCTACTTTCATCTGAATATTTGGTAAGCGGGGATCTTGGCGAATTGGTCATTTCTTAGTCCTCATATACAGGCCTTAAGTTCATATCCATCTTGATTGCAATCTATGCACATCACCTACATCTATGTCCAGAGCCCTCGCACTTTCAGGCTATCCTTCACCTCCACCTTATCCCCCTCTTCCTCCGTACACGCCTTTAAAACACTCCATCACCCCAATTCAGCCACCTCACGTCATAAATCTATACCCCTTCTGCATAACCCTCGCCGCCGCAATATTAATCCCCTCAAACTCAGCCGTCTTCTGCAACATCCGCATATCCTTCTGCGTCAACATCGCATTCTCATTCTCCATCCTAGCAAGCTGCTTATTCTGCATCTGCAAATAAACCCTCATCCCCAGAAACATCGCCAACGCTAGAACCTCCAACCCAATACAAATCCCTAAGGCAGGGCGATAATGCGGCGCGCTGCTTGGGAAGTATGTAAACGGGGTCCAGATAGAAGCGGAGTTACCGATGGAGTTGATGAACGCGAAGGCGGCGGCGCGTTTTGCGGGTGGACGAGGGATTGCGTTGGAGATCCAAGCGTATATAGTACCATTTTGTGCGAAGACGAAGTTCATGAGGAAGAAGGAAAAATAGCGGGGGCCGAAAGAGTTTGTGGTCATGAAAATGATGAAGCCGGCGATAGAGAAGAAGACTGGATACGCGAGGAACCAGAAGCGGTTGCCGATGTAATCAGAGGTGTAGCAGTGTGCATAAGAGTAAAACACCATGAAGACGTAGGGTGGGGCGACGAGCAGGAGAGAGATGATTTCATTGTAGCCGAGTGTCTTGGTTAGCGTGGGGAAGAAATTTTGGAATCCCGCCGCGCCGGTAATGCCCATATATGCGACTGCTAGCATGTATGTCTTCGGATCCATAAAAGCCAGTTTCATCCCATGAATTTGCGACATACCGCCAGTCTCATCGACGTCTGCTTCGGCGGCATCGATGGCAAGACGGCGGTTAGCGACGCGCTTCATCTCGGGAGAGAAAGCGCGCCAGGTATTTGGGAAGTCTGGGAGAATTAGGGCGACAAGCAAGCCAATGAAAACAGTGATGACACCTTCGATAATGTACAGCCTGCACTATTGTCAATCTGTGCAACCTGCTTATCTCTGAGGACACGTACCACTGCCAGGCGTCCATTCCTATGTTGCCATCCAGGCCATTTAGAATGCCGGCTGCTATCAAATTGCCAAAGGCGCCGGAGATGAGAGAGCCGCTGTAGAAGATGGCCATTCTCTTCGCCAGCTCTTCTTTTGTGTACCACTGGAAGATGTTAACAAAAAGATGACATAATGAAGTTATGAGCATACTTTCGAGAGATAGAACAGCACACCAGCGAAGAACGGGGCCTCAACAATTCCCAGAATAAATCGACACGCAACAATGCCGCTGTAGCTCTTGACTTGCGATGTGCATGCCGATACCAGACCCCAAGCCATCGTAAAGAAGCCAAGATACCACGAAGGCCGACCAGCGTAGTTCAAGAGAAGGTTTGAAGGCACCTGCATGAGAATGTAGCCTACGAAGAGGATCGAAAGTCCGACCTGATACTGGTCACCGACAAGATGAAGATCGTCAACAAGGCCTTGGAGTTTCGCAGCAGCATAATTATTCCTGAACGATTAGATACGCTGGAAACAAAATTTAGGGGAGATGCACCTGTCAATATAGTTCATCAGATAGACCAGGATTACCAGGGGCATGATTCGCCAGTCAATCTTTCGCCTCAATCTCATCTCAATCTCCAGCTCCTCTTCTGAGAGCTGTCCATGGTGAATAAGTTCCTGGTGTGTGACATCAGATTTCTCGCCGATCAGTTCTTGGTCTCGAAGGGTTCCCTCTGCCATGATAAGGTTCTAGTTAAGATGAGGTTCAGGAACGAGACCCTCAGTCAAAGTTGGGGAAACCGTCCATAGTTTCCCGGGGAGTAGACAGCAGAGTTTAACTCCGTGGAGAAAAGAACCTTGGGTACATGACGACTATGGCGGCGGCCCGAACCCCTCCTCTTTGCGCAACATTGAAACTCCTAAAGAGTGACAAAGAGAAACTGTACACTAAACTGACGCTGATTGGCGGCAATTCTCGCCCCAATGCTGTCTGGCCAATCGTTGATGACGGAGGCTGATCAAGATGTCATGATCTGCAAGCCGGTCAATCACGTTCGGCACTTCTTCACATCTTTAGAGAGCCAAGGTGAATGGGCAAGGCAGACCAAATACCATTTTTCGAAACCGCTATAAATCGTACAGAGAATCCAGAAGTCGAACCCAAGCCTCAGTTTGATATCACGAGTCCAACAACGCCGTTTACCACCTTGCTATATCCGTTTGCGTAATCATCCCTCATGTGCTATGGCCGTCGGCAACTCGTTAGATAATCACTCATCTTCCGGGATTGTAAGCAGGGTATGGCGGATAGCCCTGGTATTGCTGCTGCGGTTGCGTATTGACGAAATCTTGCGGGTTGTATTTGTATTTGCGATCTTCTGGGTATCGCTCGCCCTCAAGCTTCTTGCGGGTGTTCTCGTGCTCTTCATTTGTCTCTTGCATGGTTGGAAGTTCCGCGGCAAACCCTTTCTGGTCGAGGCCCGGTGATCGGATGCCATCTGACGCATAAGAGCTAGGTCGTGAGCTAATAGAGCTCTGGTAGTCGTTTGACACCTGCGACCACCTTCCCTCAGATGGGTTTGGCGAGTTCCCGGAGAGCTCCGAGGTGGTAGAATATCGATCGGGCGCTTGTAGATGATTCGGTGATGGTTGTGGGTGGTAATAGTCGCCTGGAAGTTCCATAACGATGTTGTTCTGGCCTTGGGAGTGATTTGGCGGAATGTATTGTTGTTGGTGTTGTTGTTGCTGGCCATGCATCTGCATCTGGTTGTGCGGGAAAGTCGGCGACCGCATCGGTGACATCGGTACCTGATACGGCTGCTTGGGCGATGGGAGTGGAGAGCCTGGGGGATTGCTGGAGGGGCCGTGGCTAGATCGGTCTGCGGGATTGTACGTCTTCAACTTTCCGCCTTCCATCATGGCCGATAGGATTCCTGAATCCAGCAGTTCCGCCTTCTTGATGAGTCGATCGACAAGGATCTTCGATGCCGCCTTGGTCTCCTTCTTGACAAAACTAACCATGGTCATGTTGCATCTAATCTCGATATCCTCGCGTAGGTAAAGCCCCTCGGGTGGGGCACCGATCCCGAGTTCGCGCGTCTCGGGCGGCTCCCCAGGCTGATTCCCGCAAATCTGCCATTTATTGCGCAGGTCTACGCCTGCGGGCGCGTAAATGTGAGTCTGAAGACCCCAGGGCATGTCGTGAAAACAGCCCTTGAACTTGATCTTGCCAGATCCCATCTTCCCAACGCCCGGAATGTACTGTATTCGCTCCGTGATCTCGTACCATGTCGAATAAAACTCGTCGGCAGGCGCGTCGCGCGGCGCCTTGATGCCCTCGAAGCCGAGAACGAGCGGGTTCAGCTCGATGATTTCGCCATGGCTGTGGAGGATGTCGATGGCGAGCTGTCGCGGGATAAAAGAGGGAATGGACGTAATGTTAGTATAGTTGACCTTCTTGCGCATCATCTTGGGCGAGCAGTCGTGAGAGTCGTGGTGTCCTGGGTGGAAAAGTGGGCGAGGAAAAGAGGGGCCGGCCTCAGTGATAAAGCAATCTCACTGCATTGATGGCGTAGAATACCTTAGCTGAAATTTGTCCAGTCCAGATCGCCCGCTCGGCCAAAGCCGGACACGTAATGGACGTGGCTGAAAGATGATGTCAGATGGGGGGCAATCACAAGAAACGAAACGCTCACTCACTCACCACTTGAGATATGGTATTCTAAAACTGCCTTTTTCTGTCGTATTTATTCAAATCAAGAGTATGGGCAATATCTCTTGTGTAACTCCAGTCTCCCTTTGATGAGCAATTTCTTTCGTCCGGTTTTTTTTTTTCACCATGCCCCTCTAACTATTTTTAGGCCTATATGTCAGCTACAGGGATATCAAAAGGATGCGGCGCCAAGGCCTCCCAAATTCTTCAAGCTTCCCCTTCAACTTTTGATCTTGACCACCTGTGCTGCTGAGAGGGCTCATCTTTTCGATTTTCGATTTCTAGTCGTTGCGGGCGCCCTTCAAATCGTGGACCCGAGCCCGGAGGGTCAAGTTGCCGTGACAAACTAGCTAGCTGCGCCCGCGCCCATGTTTTGGGCGGTGCAATTTGCTGCTTGCCCTAAAGAGCTGACCAGTGAACGGAGAGCCGAGCGAACATCGCTTCTTGTCGTTCATGCAGTTTACCCGTGACCACGGCTCGTTTCTTGAACCATTCAATGCTATTTTGATGGAAGCGGGAGGGATCCGAGCTAACGGGACTTTCCAAGTTTCGGCTCCTCGCCCCCAAATCATCAAACATCACAGGAGCTGTTCGTGCTGCTAAGAGATCGGAACGGATGCTGTGAAGTTTAAAGACGATCAGTTTGCAGCATCGAAGAAGGGGGTTGAGAGTAGTCTATTGGGAAAGTTCGAAACGCACCTCCATGGTGAAGCAGGTGGGGACCTCGCCTCTTGGTAACCCTTGGTCATTTCTCCAAGATTTCTGACGAACGTGGTTGTTGGGACCAGTGAGGGCACCAAAACCAGAACTACAATGGTATAGTAACCATTGCTCATTGCTCGAGCTTCCTTTCTGCCAACAAATAAGTCTGCAGGCTTCCTGACACTCGCCATTCACGCAATATCATTTTCATTAAACGAGGCCGATCACAATGACCACGAAATTTCGGTGCATTGGACGAGGAGCCTGCGGGAGTGTTTGGGGCGAGGGCGAGGTAGGGACGCCGGCTGATATGCAAATCGCAGTCAAAAGAGAAGATGGTCACTCCTCTCGGTCGGTCGAGAACGACATCAATATGCACCGTCGCGTCTTTCCCGGCTTCGAGAATTTATCGGTTCGCATCACCACCCCCTTCGACCTGATCGCGCCGCGTGAGGGGAATCCCTACGCCGACAGATTTCCCGACGGCTTCTCTTCAGCATGTCGGATGATTACGACGGAGCGAATACCCGCGTTCCCTCGAGACGTCCGCGAAATGCTGATTGATCGATACTGCCCAGCCAAACTCCAGGATTTTGTCAAAGGAAACCGAGACGACGAGGACTGCCTGGTACGGCCCTATCTCGGGCGTCGCCGCAGAGTTGGTGGCACAGAATCCAGATTCCAACGATTCAGCTTGCGGAACTACGCTCTACACGTTGACCAAATGGAGGAGCTATCTCTTAACACTCCGGCGTACGCTCGAGCAATGGCCGATGCCCTGGCTGAGATGCACTGGCGAGCGAAGGTAGACGCAAACGATGTTGAGTTTGTTCTTGCACCTCCTCGTAGACTCCCGGACCAGAGAGCTGCCTCATTCGAATCAGATTGCCTCGGCCAGCACTATCTATGGCTGCTCGATTTCGACTGCTGCCTGGATATGTCGATGGACGAGAAGGGTATCGACCAGGCCGTGCAGGCTTTCTTCAGGAACGATTTATATTACCCTCGACCGTATGGACGTACCCCACAGGATCGTCATCTCTGGGAGGTGTTTTCGGCGCGATTTCTGGAGAGAAGCAAACCTATCCGGGACGATGACCTGCCTGCAATGTTCATACGGAAAATTGAGCGGGAGGGGTGGAGGCTAGCGAAATTGAAGCTGAAGGACGAGGTGTTAGGTTCCGCGATTGTGGAGTGAGAAGGCAGTTGCACCCACACTATGCTTCCCCGTTCGGGGTCCCTTCCTACCTGCGATGCACGGCGTCGCCTTGCGGTTTCCTCCGGGTTCAGTGCATTTTTTACTCCTCAAGTCGAGTATTTTCGAGAATCCTGAACAACAACCAAACGGCGGTGCTCCCGGGACGCCCTGAAAAGCAGGATTAGCTTGAGGTCAACATCCACCACGGCTTGAAGCCGCGAGAAGACTTGAAATTACAAAATATCTGACGTCTCTAGAACAGATCGCGGTTGCTTCCCTGACCACGGCTGTATCGTTTTTGTTTGGCCAGGTTCAAGTTCCTGGCTAATCTTATTTTATTTTTTACCTCTTCATAGTACGTCTAACAAAGCTGCGACTACTCTTTTTCACTCTATATTACGACCGACTTTCGTCCCGATTGGTGGAACGTCAGATGTCATCTCGCCAACCTGTTTAAGGCGTGCTAGCTTGGCATTCGCTAATTAAGTTCACTAAGCATCCCCACATGCCATTGTGACCTTATTTATGTGTATCGAGGTATCAGTTCCGATCAATAACCAAGTCCCATACCCCCTCATCTACGCCGTCCCGCATGATCCAGCATTGTACACCCGGCTTCCATGCATTCCACTTCAATCTTCACCTCCAAATAGGGCACTCACTGATCGATCAAGATGCGTCCGCAATGCGTCATTAATCATTCAAACTGCGCATTAGACCAGGACCGTAGCTGTTTTGAAGATATTTTATTAACAACGGACCCGCAATGACAGCTTCCAGAACTCTACATCTTCAACGAACTGTTGTCTTCAAGCTATTCTATTTTCGATCGTCATTTTCTTGTCCAGTTGAATAGATTTTGGTGCAGTGACGACACCATCTGGGAAAGTTCTTCTCATGGGTACGAACGGATTTGTAGCCTCCCACATCCTCTTCGGGCTAGTAGAACGAAATTACCATATCGTCGCCACCGTCCAGTCAGAAAAGAAGGCCCAGGAAATCATGAAACCCCACCTGACATGGAATGGCAACATTACTTTTGCCTAAATTCCCAATATAAGGGCAGAAGGGGCCTACGATGAGGCTTTTAGAGATGGAGGCTTCGACTACATCATCCATAATGCCTCCCCTCTCAACTTTAGTGCGACAGATATCTAGGAAGAGACCATTGGACCCGCGATTGAAAGGTAAATATCTGGGAGGAATCTTGAAGCAATGGGCTCACTTTTACGAACGGCTCGTTTGATTACTTGTGCACATAAGAGCGGTGGCCCAAGTCTAAAGCGATTCGTCCTTCTTGGTAGTGCAGTCGCAGTCCTCAATGAATTCGAAGATATAAGCATAGCCGAGAAGCTGTACACGGAAGTGGACTGGAATCCAGTACGACGATCGTTTTTCCCCACTGTTAGGCCTTCACTAAAGCTCCTAGGTCACCGCCGAGCACGGGATCGAAAAAAAGGAACATTATCACAAGATACAACCATCGAAGAAGCTTGACGAACAAGCGGGACGGAGGTACATGGAAGAGCACAATCTTAACTTTGATCTCGCAGTCATCAATCTGGATATCATTATTGGGCCGATGTTTCAGAACGTACCAGGGCCGCATAGCGCCAACGAAACTAATGAAATCGCGATCTATAATTTCATGAATGGGAAATATACGTCCATCGATGGCCTGAAGTATCCTTTCTATCATTTCGTTCGTATCTCCCGGCCCTTAGATTTTGCAAGGGAAAAAAAGATGGCTGACCGATCCAGGTCGATGTCCGCGACGTCGCCCTTGCGCACATTCTAGTAAGAACAATATCGGCAGCTGGCACTAAGCGCATTATCCTCGTCAGCGGACTTATATCCCCCCAAATCATCATTAATACAACCCGAAAGCACTTCCCGGAGCTCAAAGACCGCATCATAGAAGGCCATCCAGAGCAACTGCTTCCTCCGGGCGTGGACCCGACGGGCTGGGATTCATCAAGGAGTCTGGAGATCTTTGGACCGGATTGGAAGTAAATTGGGCTAGAGAAAAGGTTGTGAACACAGTGAAGTCGCTTTTGGAACACAAGAAGATGTGGGAGGGGAAGTAGCACCCGTTTAGCTCTCTCCCTAAATTCGAGACAGAAGTTTGACGGTTCTAACCTTCCATGAATCTGTCCTCCTTAAATATCTAGTATTCTGTAAAATTCACTGGGTGGAAATGGCTTAAAAAGAACGCGAGGAGGGAAAGAGCTATAATGTGACCAAGATTCTACACCCAATACAAAAGACTCCCTTTCTACACAGCAGAATCCTCCATGACCTCCAAGAGTAATTCAAGCGTGGAAATCCGTTCGAATGAAGTGTGCAATATGCCCTAACCTGTCCACAGTCACTCAGATTTAGATAGCGCGGACTGGATTGATTTTGATCCAAGCGTTACTATGAGGACAACCAATCGTCTGGCCTCACTCGAAACCACATAACCTTCTCCGCACAAACCCCACCAAGTCCTATGGCATCGACAACGTGGCCGACGAGATGGCAAACTTCAATGCCGCAAGTATTGCGCTTCACCTGCAGGCATGCGGTAACCACATGATGCAGAAGAGATGACTTCGTTAAAGTTATAATCGAGTACTGTCTCCGCAGGGGAGTGCGGCTAATCTGAGCGCCATCTCGACAGGCATGCATACGAGCAACACGTCCATGGGGCGAATAAGGAACACGATACACGGTTGTAGATGTCTCAAGAGAACGACGATCAAAGCATCGAGGATATGATGGACTAGGCAAAGCCTCTGGGAGTAGATGAGGAAGGCATCGAAGTGGTGCGGGAGGTAAGCGGAGATATACCCAAAGCCTAGAAAGATATCTAACGGTTTAATGTAGGACCCTCTGTATCATGATCTGCCTGTCAATGGCAGGGGGACCCCTAGCACCGAGGGGTACTGACAGTGCGGACAAATCGATAGCACTGAGGGGAAAATTGGCATTCGTAAGACTCCTAATGTGTCCTGTAGAAGTAATTACATGATCCATGATTAGGCGCCTGGTTCTACCTATTCAGACACCTAATTGGTCACTCCCAAAGTTACTATCGGCCGCGAGTATGGAGAGTCGGCACGTACATAGCATCGCTACATCGCCTACCTCGCGAGACCATCGAAAACATACTTTCTATAGCCGACAAGCGTATAAAAACTCCATGCGAATATCTAAAGTATGTTAGGTTGGTACTTGTGATGGGTAAGTGCGAGTAAGGCTTGATATTGAAGCATACACACTTGCGGCAAGTGGTGGTTGACGAGGAAGGCGTGAGAAATAATGAAGATGATGAAGAGGACGATTTGAATTCTTGCTTAAGACGTCCTGTGCCCTAATCTCGGTCAGCATTTGGGTGCTGGAATGGTGGTTCTGCTTAGATGTTGACTATCTCGATGTTCATTTTCTCCCATTTCTCATGCCTCCAGCAGTGGATGCTTGCATCTCATCATGTCGGACAGGAATATCCAAATGAAAATCTCTCCGGACCGTGACAAACAAACCCATCCGAATCCTACCCAAGCACAGATGTACACAAATCACAATATGGAGAGTCAAAAGATCTTGCCAACAAGATGAACCTTTACTGAGCCCTTACTGAACCATTCCCTTGGGCTTCAGCTTAATAACCAAATCATCACCCTTAACTGGCCCTACAATCCCAATCCCCGGCTTCGCCTCGTCCATCCTAGGAAACTTCTGCTTCACATTCCCATCCATCTTCAGCTCGACGTCGAACCGACAAAGCAAGAAAGCTATGGCCATGAAGATCTCCTGCTTTGCGAGAAACCGTCCGGGGAAGTATGTCACCCCTCCGCCAAAGGGCCTAAAGCTTGGATTCTGCGGGAGTTTTTCGTCATCTAAGAAACGACTGATGTCGAACTTGTCAGCGTCTTCACCGAATGTAGAGACGTTACGATGGAGTTGATGGTAGGGGATCAGAAGACGATTTCCCGCGCGGAGGACGTATGGTCCTAATTGTGTGTCGGATGTAACGACGCGGGCTGAAGCTGAGGAGTTGGTGAGGCGAAGGGCTTCATACCAGAGTGCTGTAAGGTACGGTGTATGAGTTTGGAGAGAAGGGATATCGAGCTTGCCGTCTGAGCGGAAGACGGCGCGGAGTTCGGCCGTTACTGTTGCTGTGAGATCTTCGTCCTGGAGTAGGAATGCAAGCATCCAGAAAAGAAGCTTGTAGGCATTCGTATTGATGACCCAGTAGATTGCTGAGATTAGCTTAGCAATGTCCCGTGTGGATATGTCCAGTCCCCGCATCTCGAACTCTTGCATTTCCGTGAACCAATTTGCGCCAGGCCGTTGTTCCTTTGGCAGGTCGAGGTACGTCTCGATGGCCTTGATAAGGTTGTATTTCTGCTCTTCCATGTCCTGGGACAAGATCCGTGGAAGCCGGTACATGAGTTTCCAGCTCACTGCATCAAACGCCAGGAAGTTGTCGAGGAGGTTAGGACTCAACCCGATGAGCGCACTTCCAAAGAAAGACTGGGTAGCTGCCTGAAGCAACACATCTTCGCACCAGTGAAGCAAAGAGATCTCCCTGTACTCGCCAGCGTCAGCCAGGAGGAACTTCGGAGAGCTCAAACACTCCCAGCGTACAGCTCCATTGATGTAATCTAGCGTTATGCGTCCTAACTCCGCCAGTTTCTCACCTGGAAACAACTGCCTCCGGAAGTGTTCCATCGTTAAATGCGCTAAGGACTTATGGCGTGGGTTCGAATTGATCAACTGGAAGTCCTCTCCAGGTTTCTGAAAGACCCTCACCAGTGCCCACGGCGACACGTCGAACCCACGCATAACATCTTGGGTAAAGATGTCCATGCTAAGAGTTGACGAGTTTCGACAAGTGGTAGTGACGTCCTGTGGCGCAGTGATGATATACAAGCGCTTTCCGGCCAAAGTGATACTGAACGGCTTGCGGTCGTCGTGGAAGTAGTTCCGGCAGTCCGTCAGGACTTTAGTGGGGTTGCGTATGTAAGACACAGCGTGTCCCAGGAAGGGGGTCCAGTATGGCACTTCCCTAGGTTCTTGGGGATGAAGCTTTGGGAGGAGGGTAAACCGGACCAGACGCCACACAAGAAGAGCTGCAATGTAAACTGAAATGGTAAGACTTGCTGAATGATACATGCTAATAGATGACAATGCCGTGGCGAGGAAACCCATAGTGGTTTTTGTGGTATTGGAGAACATCTACCTGGAAAGGCAAGCAAAAGGGTAGTGCATTGGAGCCCCGAATAAGGTAAGGAATGGAGTAAGATTGAGAAAAAGCTATAGAAAAACCATATCTGCGTGCTCATAGTTGCGCCAAAATGCACCAGTGATGGCCTGTACCCTGCTGGCTTGACTTGACGAATATGGTTCATCAGGAGTGGAGCAGTTAAAGGGAAAGGAAAATAGTGAAATCAACTGAGAGGGCCTGGGTGACTCAGATGAGGGAGATGCGCTGGAATGCGAGGGATACAGGGAAAGTGTAAGTTTGGCATGGCGCTGAGCACTGACAATGACATGAAAGAGGGTGAGTATAGAGAACATCACTGTCAGCTCAGCTAGAACGGATGGTGAGCATCACAGTTCGGCGTATTAAATGTTCACAGGAAGAGATGTTGCAGCTGGCTGTCAGTCAGGTATGGAGAATACCTAGGTATGGATATGAGGTGAGGCGACAACAGACATTTTGGACTGAGGACACCATTCCTGTTTCGTATGCCAAGAGTCTTGGCAACGGACCTCATCCCAACGTCAATCGATCCTCCTCGCTCTGAAACCACCATTACGAGTGCCAGATCCTGCAATAAAACCTTTGATAATCCTACTAACGCCCACGCGGTCAGAGACTGAACTGATATCGCAGCACAACCTGAGATGCAGGAATCTGAGTCCCTAACTCTCGGGGACGGTCGAACCCTCTCCTTCGCCGTCTACGGCGCTCCGGCTTCGGATACGACAGTCCTTTATTTCCACGCATTCCCGTCCTCAAGATTGGAGGGACGATTATGGCACGCAGCCGCTAAATCGCTTAACGTTCGTTTTGTCGTGCCTGACCGTCCAGGGATGGGGAACTCAACATTCCAACCCTCGCGAACCATTCTCGACTGGCCCAAAGACACCATCACCCTTGTCGACCATCTAGGAATCGAGAGGTTTTACGTCATGGGATTAAGTGGAGGCGGCCCATATACACTGGCATGTCTGTATGGCATACCGAAGGAACGCCTGGCTGGAGCCTCTGTCATCGGAGGGTTGTATCCCATAACCCTTGGAACGGCAGGCATGATGATGGCTTCGAGGATAATGCTCTGGGTAGCTCCGTGGATGACCGGGCTTTTTGGAACTTTGATGGATTATACAATGGGGAAGGCAGCGCGAAACAAGGATCCCAAGGTCTTCGAGGATCTTGTGATGAAGGAGATGCGATCAAGACCCGAAGTAGATCAGCAAAGTATTAAAGATGAAAACATCAAGCATGATTTCATTGAGTCAACAAGAGAGGGAGTTAGACAAGGCTCTCAAGGGGCGGCGTGGGAAGCAAGACTTTTTGGAAGCCCATGGGGCTTTGAATTGACCCAACTCCACTCCGAAGTGCCATTGACGCTGTGGCATGGTAATTTGGATATCAACAGCCCATCTGCCATGGTCACGAAAGCGAAGGAGATGCTTCCCGGCGCGACGTTGCGGTTGGAAGAGGGCGAGGGGCATGTAAGTCTCGCGTTTAAGTTCCGGGAAGATATTCTTAGAGAGCTCCTAGGACGGTAGGCGTCGTGTCCTCTCTTTCCCCATATTCTCTCTCCCTCTAGTAGCTTCATGTCTCTCTCTTTATTTTAGGCGCTTATCGCCCTATTCTAATTAGGATCTTTCACTTCATTCCACCCCACATATGTATTGCGGTGACTATTTGGTGGTGGCTTCCGTTCCACAACATCTCTCATACAGGTGATTGAGTGTGTCCGAGTGAGGCGGTGTGGCTGGAGAGGATTTTGATATCTCTACAAGCCCGTGATCGGTAAACGGAAGATATGAGAACAGCTCCAGGTAACAAACTCCCCCACCCGCCACAACCTACGTTGGCCAACATCGAGTTTCAGCCTCACACCGAACGACTGAACAGCCTTGCTCCACAACATGCAATTAGCTCAACGGCTTTCCAACTTATCAATTTCTACCGATATGTTCACAGACATCAAACTGCTCACCTTGGCAACTACTCATCTTCACGTCCTGGGCAGCGATCGGAACAGATCCCGGCCACTCTTCGTGCCAAATCCTATCCCGTGAGCCATTATTATATTGACTGCCCTATGCCACGAACTCCCGCCCAATCTGTCTCACGGACCTAATGATGGTAGAAGACTGTCTTGATCCCCTTTAGGTTGACGACACCTCCAGCGCTTACAATGTTATTCGTGCTTAAGCCCAAGAGGCCTCAGACACTGCCTAACTTACCCAATCGGGGTGCAAGTCCAAATGCACTAAGCTTCGCCTTTCAAACCCCAACCTTTTTGTCCTACGGGTCTGCTGTCTATAATCGTGTCAACTGCTTTGCTACTGAAGTTCACAGCAACGACGAAGCGATCCTCTAACAGTGCTTCGATAGCCGCTCCCACCAGCAGCTTAACGCTAAATAAGGCTGCAGGATCAGCATTGGGGGGATTAAGCGAACCTATCTCATAGCTTCCATCTAGTATCACGACTTCTGCGGCCTGTCCGACATCATTCTCCAAGACTCTCGAGATTGGTTCGAAGATTTCTACGACAAGTGGGAAGCCGTCGCCAGGGAAATGACCGTGAAGATAGACAACTTCAAGAAGAAGTGCTGGGATTGGTTTAGCTCCAAAGTCGTACCCCTAATCAAGCACGCCCTAAAAGTTGTAATTGATCGCGAGGAAGCCGCATATGAGTATTCAGAGACGGAGAAGTTTTGGAACGAGGTGTGCATGGTCTATGCCAACGTTCTCCAGGCTGGAGAATAAATCTACAAGGTGGGAAAACTCGCCCATAGTACTTCCTAGACTCTGAAAACCTTAAGAACCTCCATCGCTGCAATGAACGCATTGCACCAAGAAATGTATCTTTATAAGCTCGCCATAGGTTCTTCTCCGATCTTCCGTATAATAATGACTATTAGGGATTAGCTATATAGTTTTTAAGTTTCACATATTTCCTGCTTTCGTGCACTTTCCACTCCTACTCAATATATCATTTCCATCTTAGCGTCCGATGAAAGTCTTCAAATCTGGAGACAGCCATGGTCCACGCCTGTGATACAGAGTCGTTTCATCCTAGCCTCGCCAACTTATATGAACACCAGGCACTGGTATTATATCTTCTGTCCGCTAATCATCTCTCGTGTTCCCTATCCTTCCTCCTGAGATATCGGCGCTTTCCCCAGCACATAGGCTAGAGAATGAGCGGTTGCCTTTCTCGGTGCCCGAAATTTGAGTGAGATTCTTCTACGAAGGTGTCCGTAGTTCTTGTCCATAGATCATTCCTCCACTCAATTATCCGCCTCAAATCCCAAATTTGCCTTCAATTTAGTTCTCAAGCTCTTATCCCCCACGCCTTGACTTCGCAAACCAGCAGTGGTACAAACAGCTCGCCCAAAGACTCGAGAATAGAAATTTACTAAAGGGGCTAGAGCTCCAGTCCAGATATTACACCCATCTGGAGTATTATAGCAGCGTGTGGTTGATTACGAGGGGTGGGGGTTTAACCAGGGCATCTGAGGATTTTAGCGAGCCAAATAATCCAATCAGTCCATACCAACTCTACCCCCATCCCAATTCCTGCACAGTGCGATTTAGGGCATCATGCTCAGCGAAATAGTGGCAATGGAGATCGTCCCCCCGGCCACCAACACCAGCAAAGGAATTGACAAAGCCTTCTTCGATTCTAGGAAACAATGTCTGTTAGCTTCGACGTACGAAAGGAGAACTCGTGTGGCGTCCATGTGTCTGCTACGCCCCCCAACAGCCTAAAATGCGTTCCCCTCACCACGCTACAGAAATGCGACTTCGCCACCATCGTAGCCGAAAACCCCGTCCATATCACCCTCCTTGCGTGCAGGAAGACCAATTGGTACTGAGTGGTGAAATCTAAATCCTAGGTGGGGGATGGGCGGGCACAGCTGCGAGAGGCGTGACGAGCTCGACAATTAGGACCGCGAAGAAGCAAATCCCACAGGAGAACAACTCGTTAACTTTGCACGCTTATATGCAGGGGAATTTCTACTTGCTCTATAACTTCGCGGATGTAACACCCTAGAGGGACGCCACGAGCTGCCCTAGAACTGTGGAATTTCGTCGCAGGGCTAGTTCTTCGATGCGAACACTACGCTCACGTGGGTTGCTTTTGAGGTCGCATTTATCCATCTGGATTTAGACGGGGTATATTTATCCCAGTGCGAATTCCATAAGGTGTACTAACAAGACGTCAGGACAGGGTGGGCCAACAAGGCGCAGTACAGTATTCACTGTACAGACAACATTACTAATATAAAGAAAGTTTTTTATATTATAAAAAATTAGAATAAAAGCTAAGTAATAATAAAAAGTAAGTAATTATTAAGCATATACTTAAGCTATATACATAAGAATTTTTCTCTTAGCTAGCAGTTATAGCTAATATAGCTAATTCTTTACATGCTAAGTATAATTTAGGCTATATTAGTATAAACTAGCTTAGTATGTTTATAAAGCGTTATCTAAAGCTTAAAGTAAAGTTTTAAGTATAAGTATAATTAGTAAATATCTAGCCTTGTCAGATTGAAGCACTGTTTCTAGGCTTCCTGAGATGAATGATGGGTTTGGATATGATGTATGGGATGATTGATTGATTGTATTGATTTATCGATCCTTTTTCTGCTCTACTCGTGTTGCTTGGCTACGGCGGACTGTTAGCTGGTGAAGGGAAAAAACTAATTGCTAATTTAAAAATTCTTTACCCTACACATAATTATAGCCTTTAGCTACTTACAACTTTATAATTATTTTATACACGTTTATACATGTTAATTTTATAATGCCTAGTAAGTGTCTTCTAAATAGTTACATTGTACAAGTGCTTACTAATATAGTGGCAATGTAGAAGAACGTTCTAAGATTAACCTTAAACTATACTAACTTTATCTACTTAAGCTTTTCTATAAAGGTGTTATATACACGCAGATAGCTACTTACTTTTTTAAAAAGTTTTAAGTCTATGTTACTTCTTATATAATTAAGTAGTAGTTTTAAATATAAAATATAAAGTAACACTTTTTTACTAAAGTTAAAAATAAAGTTAAAAATTAAATTTAGGTGCTATTCTTTAAAGTTAGGCTTAAAGATTTAGATATGCTTTATATACTACATAATAAAAGCTTCTAAATTAGAAAATATACACTTATATAACTTTAATTTAAGCTTAGATTACATAAAAAAGTGTAAAGTGTTAAATAAAGCTAGTAAGTAAATAAGCTTATATAACAACTTATTAGTTAAAAGCTAAAAAAAGGTGTTATTAATAAGTATAAGTAAAGGTATCTTTATACACACTTTTATTAACATAGCTATATTATTATATAAGACTAGTTATTTTACATCTATTATATAATAAACTATAAGGTAGTAGAGCGCTGCAAGCGCAACCTGCAGCAACACTATAGGGAGTATATTGTTTCTAGCCTAAACTTTATCTAGTTTATTAATAGCTATAGTAAGCTAAAACTATACAGCATAAAAATCTATGCATGTATTAATGCGTACTTATAATATATTATATAGATTTATGTTAGAATCTCTACCTACACTACTATTAGCTGCTTTTGCTAGTTTCTTAAGACACTTAAAAAAACAGAGTAGTAACTATGTTTTATATAATTTAATTAAAAAATAGAGATAGTTATGCTAGTAAATGCTTATTACTAGCTTTAAAAGTTTATAAAGCCTAAGCTTTTATTTAATTAGTACTACTTTTATAGCATAAGTATATTAAATTAGTAAATTAAAGCTTAGTAGTAGTAACTTTTAAAAGGCCTTTTTTTTTATTAGTAAGTTAGTATTTTATATAATACTTATTACTTTATTTTACTTTAAGTAGGATTACTTTTACTACTTTTAAACCTAAAGCTTTTTTTTAAAAAATAGCTTAGCTAATTAGCTTACTATCTATACTATATATATTTTTATACTTTATAAGAAACTATATAGCTTTATATAACTATAGAACACACATTTAATTTAAAGGCAGAAGAACTGTTTAAACAGCATAGTTAAGAAGCCTTTTATGCTTTATTACTATTTTAGAGCCTATGTCTAGAACTAGGCTTTTTTATTTAATGCTAATTAGCTTTATATAACTAAAAAAAGAGTTAATAGTTAGAATATAAATGCCTACCTCCTATAAGATACACTTTAGTAGTGTAATAGGGTACTAGATTTGCTTAGATTTAACAGCGTAGCTGCAGCTTACTCTAACTTTTAGGATTATATAACACTATATCTAGATGTTTATCTTTAGCTTTAAGTAAAAGCATAATACTATATCTAGAACAGTCTTTAGCCTATACTATCTCTACTTAAGTTACTTATTAAAGCATAGAATTAGTAAGTAAGGTTTTATATAATATGCTTAATATAAAAGTATCTAATTTAACTAAAGTAATTAAAACATAGTTTAAGATGTTAATCTTAAAACTAACTTTAGTAAGAAAATACTTATTAATCCTAATCTAGCTTAGTAGATTTATGTAGATGTAGTAACTAAGCCTTTATCTTTTTTATAGTATGTTTAAATTTTTTATAGTTTTTTTCTTAGTTCTTTTTTTAGTTCTTTTCTTTGTATAACATACAATCTATTGTT